TTTTGCTACTGCAATTTTGTGGCACCATAAGGCAAATCACACAGTTCATATGATTTAGCTAGCTTGAGACATAGTTTTTATGCATTGAGAAAACATGCATATAAAATGCACTACCCACAGGAAGCTTAGAGAATGACTTACTGAAGCAAGTTTCTTCTCTATACACAAAACATACCTATTTCTCCCGTGAATACCGTTCATTTCCAGTGAGCCATTTGAGTTTGTGTTACTCAGCTGTATAGAGTGTCTGTTGTCTTCTCAGCCAATAAGCGTTTAACAAAGACAATAAGTAGAGATGCCTTTTGGTAGCTCTATTATTGGAATGTGTGGGTCCCATGTGAAAGCAGAAATAATAAAGAAGAAAAAAGGTTGACACCAGCACTAGATCAGCTCTTCTGGAAAGATTTTGAAATATCCAGAGTTGTATTATAGTCAGGTAAACCAGCTTCACTTGCATATATGTCTCTGAGAAGAGTTAATTATCAATTAAATATTGTTGAATAGACTGAAAACGTGAAATCCAAGAACGTTAATGGAGCAGAGAACCCAAGCATAGTTCTCACTTTCCAAAAATGTTTCCAAATGCTTAACCTAGGCCTCAGTCCAAAGTCAGTCTTCTTATGGGGACATTAAGAAAAGCTGGGCTCTCATCTAATTACTGTGCATGGTATTAAGAGTTTTCTAAGTTTAAATTTCTTTCTAGGAAGAAAAGAATGAGGTCTATCACCAAGGGAAACATTGGGATTTTCATTTAAGTAAATCTACATTCTAAAATGTTATTACTTAGATTACTCCTATTATTAACAGTAAACACATGCAGCAAAATTTTTTTTTACATTTTAATTTCAGCTGAATTTAAAGTGTTAGAAATAACATGGACATATAAGCTGAGAAAATGAATATATTATGATGCAGTTTGTCAGGCTTTAACATTAACAGTAGTAAATCTTGAGAATGGGTCCTCTGGATCTAATATACCTGTGGTAAGTAACATGGAGATAGCTGAATTGCTGTATATTTCCACGACCTTCTGTAACTGATTTAAGGTTGGCAGTAGGATCTAACAGATCATTATCCTAGAACATATGTGAGACCTTCTTCAATGCCAGATTAGGGAAATGATCTTGTATGCACTGACATCTCAGAGAGCAAAGAGGGAACATCCAGATAGGCATCGTAAGAGTCTACAGCTTTGGGGCCTGCAGAATGAGATCATATCCTTCCACAGAGCAAGGTTGAGTTGATCTGACCTAATTATCTGATTGATGCGTTGAGAGGTAGGCCAACTTGGAAATGTATTTGCTGCATCCATTTTCTGTTTAGGCAATTTATTTAGTCATTACCCTCTTTTTATCCTTGTGACATGAGATCTCCAGATATTGACCTAAAATTACATAAGATGTGAATTTAATAATATTAATAATATATGTATTTTTAAATAATAAAAGAAATATAAGAATACATGCTGAAACATGTCAAAAAAATAAAAGAATACAGAATGAAAAGATGAAAGCTTTTTGTTCAACTTGCTCCCCTCCCAGTGCCATTTCCCTTCCCACAGGTAAGCGCCGTTAACAGTTTGGTGGATGCCTTTCCAAAGTGTATTGTTATAGATATAAATAGACATAGAGATAGATATCAGAAGAGACCATTTACCCAAGCACTAAATAATAAACTTTATTGGAACTACTTTTCAGGGTTAATCTCAAAACAAGAATACAGATTAACTATCAAATCTATCAAATTACTGAGAAATTACTGCCTCCTGGAGTTTTACTATTCTTTTTTGCCCCCCCAAAAAACATTTTGGGGACTTCCCTGGCGGTCCAGCAGTTAGGACTCTGAGCTTCCACTGCAGAGGGTGAGAGTTCGATCCCTGGTCAGGGAACTAAGATCCCACATGCTGCGAGGTGCAGCCAAAAAGTAAAAAACAAGGGCTTCCCTGGTGGCGCAGTGGTTGAGAGTCTGCCTGCCAATGCAGGGGACACGGGTTCGTGCCCTGGTCCGGGAGGATCCCACATGCCGCGGAGCGGCTGGGCCCATGAGCCATGGCCGCTGAGCCTGCGTGTACGGAGCCTGTGCTCCGCAACGGGAGAGGCCACAACAGTGAGAGGCCCGCGTATCACAAAAAAAAAAAAAAAAAAGTAAAAAACAAAACAAAAAAACAACCAAAAAAACATTTTGGGTTTAACATATTCTGACATGTTTCCCTGTCATATGCCAGACCATAAGCTGGGAGGAGACATAAATACTACTATGGCTAATAAAATTTACATAGGATCCCATATGTTAGAGCATTAGTATAAATTTTAAAATAACTCAGAGCTGAAATGCCTCTCAGTAAATCAAGGAAAGCTGGAAAAAATCAAAGAGAAAAAAAGATTTGGGAGCCTGTGCAACGGGTAGGGGAGATTTTGACTCTGGTTCAATTAATCAGCAAGTATTTACTATTCATCTCTGCTGTAGTAAGCATTGTAGGTATACAGAAATATAAAGTGTGGTCCCCACCTCCAGTGGGTTTACTATCACCTGAGAAATCAGACCAGCCAGACAGAATGGAATCAGATAATAAAGGCTTGCACAAGGGCTTGAACTTGATAAAATGATAAACAGCAGGCAGCCTCTGAAGGTTTCTACTCAAAGGAGTGATACAATAAAAAATTTTTTAAAAAATTAAAAGACTATGTCTTTACCCCCTTGCATCCCTTCATTTCCCCTACATAATTACTGCCCCAGTTCAGGCTTTCATGACCTTGCCTACTGCAGTGAACTTACATCCAGCACTCAGCCATCTCCCCATCCTACCCACTCCCAGGCCATCCTACACACAGCCACAAGAAGGAGTTTCCAAAGGTGCAGGAGAGGGCTCAAAAGTAAAAAAAAGTCTCCCCTTTGACCACCAAATAGTATGAACTTCTGAGTGAAAATTCAAGGCCCTCCCATCAACTATGCTAATCTCCTTCCAGACTTGTCTCCCATTTCCTGATATAAATCCATTGCTCTATTGAAATTGAACTACTCACCACTCCCCAAACCCACGTCTGTGCTGTCTTCATGTGATTCTCACCCTTAACCCATCTCCACAGAAAAGCAGAGTCCAGATTAAATTTCTATTTTGTGGATATTATATCATATATATAGTTTTATATATATTATTATATAGAGAGAATATGTGCTCAAAAATTTTAATGATACAACCAAAAACTTTAAGTCCACTGGATTAAAAGATGGCATTTAGAGGAAATCTGACCTCATTACCTTTATTATCAAGTAATTGAATGCTAGTACTATTATTTCATAGTGTCCTTATAGATATGATAGAGATTGTACTTGAAAGCGAGCTATTAATAACCAGTTATATCTAGACCATGAGGGCTTTACAATATGAGAAATTTGGGAAGCAACACCCAGTGATGACTTTAGAATCAGATTGCTTAATCTCTGCTTCAGTCATCGCTAACTACAGCCTGGGGAAAGTTAGTTGACCTACTGCACATATGTTTCCTCAACTGTAAAATGAGGATATATTAGTACTTTCTGCATAGGACCACTTTCAGGATTAAATGAACTAATATATGTAAGAGTTTAGACCGGCATTTAATAAGTACTCAATGAATGTTAACTAATATTAACCAGGCTTTGGTTAAATTTGTTCTTTTTTTCCTAAGTGTGCTTTGCTTTCTTAAAAAAGTTAAAAAACTTTTCTTAATTTTAAAATTAAAAAAGAAATTTATTGAAGTATAGTTGGTTTACAATGTTGTGTTAGTTTCAGGTGTTCAGCAAAGTGATTCAGTTATACATACATATATATATATTCTTTTTCAGATTCTTTTCCCTTATAGGTTATTACAAAATATTGAGTATAGTTCTCTGTGCTATACAGTGGCTCCTTGTTGGTTATCTATTTTGGTTAAATTTGAAAAGACAAAACCCCTTGTTACCTACTGACTCTTGTTGGCCAACAGGGGTCAGTACATGGCAACCAACATGGGGAAGCTAAATAAAATGCTTCACTGGGGTAAGAAAAGATTTTCCGTGTCTGAGGAAACATCAATGTTTAACTTCAGAAAATTTTCACAGAATAGTGTTGAGAAAAATCAGTCACCATAAAATTAAGCAATTAGTGAGAAGTGTAGGAAGAGAAAAGAAGTAAAATACCTTAAAAATAATTAATTAAATAATAAATACATTTTAAATGTTGAAAGCAGTTTAAAACACAGACGCATGTTTTAAATGGTAGTGCTCCGAAGCAGAGACCTTGGGAATTCACGGTGCAATAGAGGGCTATCTTGTCAAGGAAGGCAACTTGCTTACTGAAATGACCAAATATGTATGTCAAGTTCTGCCTTAATGTTTGGGGGTCAGGAGAAGGTATGAACCTTCCTATTTGCAGATTATACAAAAACAAATTTATTATTGAATGCTTACTATGTCAAGTGCTTTACCTATATCACCATTTTTCTTTTTTGAATTTTTAACATGAAAATATTCAAATACATAGAAAAGAATAATAAAACAAGCATCCATATATGTACTCAGTTTCACATTTAACACTTTCCATATTTTAATTTTTCTGAATTATTTAAAAGTATAGATAGCAAACATTTTACCCCTAAATACACCAATATGTGTATCTAAAAAGAGATTTTTCTACATAAGCACAATGCCATTATCATACCTAATTAAAAAAACAACTGTGTAATATCATCTAATGTTTTAGTCTGTATTCAGATTCTCCAATTGCTCACAAAATATCTTTTATGTCTGGTTTATTAAATCAGAACCGAGGACAAGCCATTGTATTTGGTTACGACGTTTCTTAGGTTTCTTTTAATCAAAACAGCCCTCCCTCAGTACTGCTTTATTTCTCTTCTTCTTTCTTTCTTTCTTTCTTTTTTTTTTATGGCACTGAGTTAATTTAAGAAATTGAGCCATTTGTTCTGCAGGATGTCTCACCATTTGTTCTGGATTTTTCTGATTGTCTACTTCTATCCTTGTAGTTCCTGCTTGATTATACTGAGGTTAAAGATTTTTGGAAACAATACTTCTCAAATGATGCTGGTGCTTCATACTGTATCACATCTGGAGACACATAATGTCAGGTTGGTCCATTTTACTGATAAGATCGATCTAGGTTAAGGTGGGAAGCGGCCAGATTTCTCCATTGTCATTATGGATTTCCCTGATGATTGGCACATAATCCCTGGCTCTATGTGAATATCCTGTTCCCTATCTCACTCTCACCAACTGGTCACATTGATGATCCTGGCAGGAATCAATTATTCAACTAGGGACTGCAAAATGGTGAATTTCTAATTCTGTCCTTCATTTTACATTATTTAGCTGGCATGTTTTTGTAAAGAGAACAGTTTCCTCATCAACTGAGGCCATTTGGTTACCCTGAAATACAGCTGCAGCTAGAAAAGCAGGATAAATGGTAATTTTCTTAAATTACCACTTTTCAGAGTAAAGAGTTGGTGTGATAGTCACTGCCAGTAGTATGGCAAAGGAAGTTTTTTAAAACTGTTGTTTTTTTAGATTTGCTTTACACTTTAGTGGAAATGAATTTTATGTTTGACATTTTAAATAAATTGCGGTTATTAATTTTGATGCTCAAATTGTTCTAACTTTGGCCAGCGGACATTCCTTCAAGCTAGCTTCTGTGTTCTTTTCAAAGGACCTTGTTTTTTAATACCTCCTGACTTTCTGTCACGTGATGTTCTAAGTGCTCCTGTTATTTCTCAGCTCTTGACCCGACTGACATCAGCCATTTCTCCAAGGAGCCCTGGTACCTTTTAGTGGAAAAGTGGTATTTAGAGATCAACATCTGGGTGCCAAGGATAGTCATTGCTTCTAGGCCCTGAGTTCATATTAATATTTTCATTTCAAAGTTAACAATATAGAGTTTTTATGTCATTGTTATTATACAATACTTCTGTGTCTTTACACTGGAGCTTTTGCACCTAATTAACATTAACAAAGTTACTTTTAATACTTACACCAACCCTAGGAGATAGGTGATCATAACTTATGTAATTGTGATCATAACATCTTATAATCTCTATTTTAAAGGAGGAGCCAGATCATTGCAGCTCTATTTACAATAGCCAGGACATGGAAGCAACCTAAGTGTCCATCGACAGATGAATGGATAAAGAAGATGTGGCACATACATACAATGGACTATTACTCAGATATAACAAGAAACGAAATTGAGTTATTTGTAGTGAGGTGGATGGACCTAGAGACTGTCATACAGAGTAAAGTAAGTCAGAAAGAGAAAAACAAATACCATATGCTAACACATACATATGGAATCTAAAAATGGTCTGAAGAACCTAGGGGCAGGACCGGAATAAAGACACAGACATAGAGAATAGACTTGAGGACACGGGGAGGGGGAAGGGTAAGCTGGGACGAAGTGAGGGAGTGGCATGGACATATATACACTACTAAATGTAAAACAGCTAGCTAGTGGGAAGCAGCCGTATGGCACAGGGAGATCAGCTGGGTGCTTTGTGACCACTTACAGGGGTGGGATAGGGAGGGTGGGAGGGAGGGATATGTAAGAGGGAGGAGATACGGGGATATATGTACACGTATAGCTGATTCACTTTGTTATACAGCAGCAACTAACACAACGTTGTCAAGCAATTATACTCCAATAAAGATGTTTAAAAAGAAAACCAAAAAAAAAAAAAAAAAAAAAAAGGAGGAACCAGAGACGAGAAGTGCCGGAGGTTAGGCTTCCAAGTAAACAGCAAGCGTCGTGATTTGAACGCTGCACGCTACTTCCACCGGGGAAGGGAGCCCCTGACACTCAGAGGAGCTTTTCCAGGAAGCCAAGCGTCCTTAGAAAAGGTATCAGGGAGGTGATCAGGGCTAGGGGTGCGGGTACCAGCGTGTGGGGGTGAATATACGTCCCGACTCCAAAAGCAGAGAGCGGGACAGGGACGACCTGCTGGGTTATGGACCGTGGGGGGCATGGCCAGAGCTGCTGTTTCATCTTAAATGGACCAAAAATTCCCTAAAGAGCACACACTGCCAGTGAACCACGCAGGAGCCACCCAAAGGTAAGAAAATCTGGCCAGGACGGGCGAGCTACGACCCACAAATGGGGGACCTGACCCGTCCCCGCGAAGAGGGAGCCAATCAGAGGGAGCCTTGAACACGGGGGCGGGACAACAGAGGAGCGGGTCCAATGTGGAATCAGCCCTGGGTCGCCTCAGGGCAGAGTATTGCAAAGTCCTAGCAGCGAGCGAAGAGGAGGCGGTGGGCTGGCCAATCAGAGGGAGCAACTCACAGCGTTGGGTACTGGCAGCCATTCAGAAGAGTGGTCGCAGATGACTCGCCCGGCCCCAGCTTCCCGCCTTTCCCCTAAGCTCTAAGGCTGCGCGGCGCCGCGCTTCCTGGGCTGGGGTCGTCGGCCACCGCGCTATGCTCGTCCTCGCCTCACTCTCCTGCTACAGATCCCAGGTCCGTGCAGGCGTCCGGCGGGACATGGCGAACTCGGGCGGCGAGGACCTCCGGAGCCAGGAAGGGGAGAATTTTCTCTACTTCGCCTATGGCAGCAACCTGCTGACGGAGCGGATCCACCTCCGAAACCCCTCGGCCGTGTTCTGCAGCGTGGCCCGCCTGCAGGTCAGTGCTCTCCTCCTGGCCCCTGCGATGGCCTCTGGCCCCTGCGATGGCCTCTGCCCCCCTCTGCAGACGAGGGAGCCAGGATTTCGAGAACTCGCTTTCTCTTCGCCGCTTGTTGGCAGCACTGGGCCGGGAATGCAGCTCTTTCTGCTCAAAGTACATCAGGGTTCCTTGCACGACCCCGGGCCGGTCGCTCTCGCCCTCAGCCCTGTGCTTGACCCCTGCTGAGCTGTGCTACTCTGGCACCTGTGCCTCCCAGGCTACCCTGACGTCTCTCTCCTGACGTTCTCACCAGCTGCGCGTTCTGCCCAGATCCCAGCGCCTCTCCCTTGGCCACTGATTTAGGGGCATCATCACAGAATCCATTCGGTTGGTCCCTCTGAGAAGCCTTCTCTGACCCAAGTCAGGGAATCAGTTGCTTTCTGTTCTGTACCCCACTTTGCTCCAGGACTTGTCACCTGGTTTTGTAAAAATCCATTTACCTGCCTTTTGCTCCCGATCTGAGAGGTCCTGAAAGCTGGAGCCGTTTCTTATTCACAGTAAGGGCTGTGCTCAGTAAAATCAAGTGGCTGGATGAACCTTCGCTTGCCTTGGTAAGAATCATTGCTCTTAGTACAGTCCATTTATTCATTTAGGGCTTATTCTTCCAGCACTTACCTGGAGATACAAAGATGATTGAGTAAACCTGGCTGCTTTCAGGACCTCCCAATCTATAGGAGAGACACTCGAACAAGTTATGTACAAAGCCTTTTGACATTGTTGAACCAAACAAACATGGTCTCTGCTATCGTTGTCAGGGTTCTTAGTAGCAAGCAACAGAAGTGGCTGATTCAAGCAGAAAAAGAATGTGTTGAAAGGCCGTTTGAAGAGCTCACAGAATGACCAGGAAGGTAGGACCACAAAGCTGACAAAACAAGCAGGCATAAAAGGGAAGCTCTAAAACAGCCAGTATCACACCAACAGAACCAGCCCAGGAGGCCACTGTTGCATCGCCGCTAAGCTTGGTAAACATGGACGTTGCATTGTGCATCACCTGCGCTGGACCCTGCCTGCTACTCTCACTACATCTCCGAGTTCCTGAAACCCAAATCTGGTTGCCACCACCAAGGTGGACTTTTTTGCTGCCCTGGGTCACTAGTTTCTAATTCAAAGCCCTAGGTGGGTGTCCTGATTGGCTAAGTCTTGGCCACGTGCCCATGCCCTGACTTCAAGAAAAGCTGGGAGAACCAACTTCTGGCATTTGAAACTTCAAAAATGGGAGTCAGGCTCTGAACACTGTCTGCCCCCAAACTCATAAGGCAGGGAATTCCCCAAACGTGGGAAAGAAGTTCAGATGGTTTATAATTGGAATGCAGCAAAGAGCTATCAAGCAAATGATTATTCCATCACAGGTATGGTCAGTCTTAAAAGGAGATATATTATACCTTACTCTCTGTTTTGTTCTGAACTTAAAACTGCTCTAAAAAAAAGTGAAATCTTTTTTTTTTTTTTTAAAGGATCCATTCAAGGTGCTATGGAAGTGTATGACTTGGGGACCTGACCTAACCGGGATGCTCAGTAAAGCCATTCCTGAAAATGTGACTTTTAAACTGAGACCTGAATGACTGGGGAGGGGGGAAGCAAACAGATAGAATGAACAGCAGGGACCAAAGACCTCAGGAAAGAAAAAAGCTGGACCTTCCAGCTAGTGTGGCTGGAATCTAGTGTGTGAGGAGAGGGTGTAGCATGAAGACTAGAGAGGTCGGGAAGGGCCACATTTTACAGGACCACAGAGGCCAGAGAAGGCTTGGGTCTTTATCTTGAGACCAATGAGAGGACCTCTGCCAAATTTAAGCAAATGAAACATCAGATTTACATCTTTGAAAGCTGGTTCTGGTTGCTATGGAAAATGGATTGGGAGCAGTGGATGTAGGGAGCCCAGTTAGGAAGCTTTTGCAGCAGTCCATGCTAAAGATAATGGTACCCTGCAGTGGTAGCAGTGGAGGGTAGCTGGGTTTGGGAGATATTTAGGAGTGAGTACTGTTAGGCCTTGGTGATTGATTGTGAAAGGAAGAGGAGATAATGGGGATGACTAAGGTTTTTGACGCAACAGAGTAGATGACGGTGATGTTTGTGAAAAGAAGAGGAGAATTAGTTTGGGAGGGAAAATCAAGCTCAGTTTGGACATGTATTTGGCCCTTAAACAATGCCGGGATTAGTGGTGCCGACCCTTCACCCAGCCGAAAATCAGAACTGCCATCTCTACCTCAAAAACAAAGGAATTGATACATGACTCACCCAAGGGCAGGAAGCTGAAAAAGTTTGGATAGAATCGGGACTCAGACCCTAGTTCTTTTGATACCACATATTCTCTATTTTAATCTCTACTCGAATTTTTCCCCATACTTAGTTAATTTGATGATATGTAAAAGGAAAATATAGATGCTATATTTATTGAAAAAAATTCACGTGTACGTGGACCTGTGTAGTTCAAACCCGTGTTATTCAAGGGTCAGCAGTACTGAGTTTGAGACGCTTGTTGTATATCCAAGTGAGCAGAAAAATATTAGTGAACATTCATTAAATACTCACTATATTCTAAGCACTTTTGAAGCTCAGAGGAGAGATCTGAGCTGGATTAGAAGACGACTGGAATATTGGATGGTATTTGAAGCCATTGGAGGGGATGAGAGTGTCCTGAGCAAATTGCTGAACAGAGAAAAGGGCCTAAACTGAGCCCTCAGAAACTCCCAACATTTAAAGACCAGGTAGTGGAGAAGGAGTTGGCAAAGGGGATTGAGGAGATCAAGGAACAGCCTAAAAGAAAGGAGACAGATCAAGACCTGGTGGTTAATGATGTCAGAAGCAGCTGAGAAGTAGAGCAAGACAAGGAATGAAAATTGTCTATTGGATTAACAATAGACAACCAGTTCCTAGTGTGGTTGTAACTTTTATCAGATCCCCTGATGTCCTGTCAGGCATACCTGGTCCTAGAACATCCAGTATACCAATTGAAGGTACGGGTCACTCAAACCGACCATTTTTGTGAAATTCTGACAGGTTTTTAAGAAAATAAAGGTGACAGAGATAAAATATAAACCTTAGATTTATTGTCTAGTCTAACCTTTTTTTTTTTTTTTAATCATTAAGGAAGCTAAGCTCTGGAAAGATGGAAAGAAATCTTCTTAGACCAAACAGCCAAGTAAGGATTTTTAATCTTCCTGGCTGTGTCCTTTGATTACTCATCTCTGTGAGGGAGGAAACTAAACTCGAAACCTTGACTCCATTACTTATTAGTTGTGAGACCTTAGGCAAGTTGCTTAATCTTTTTAAGCCACAGTTTTTCTTTCTGTTAAATGGGTATAAAAAGTTGTTGACAGGATTTTTAAAAAGTCCATATAAAGCTCATAGCACAGTGTATAGAACCCAGTAATTTTCCAGTAAGTGTTAGCTGCTCTTATCATTATTATAGATATGTTAATACAATTCAGGAATATTAAATTTATGAGTGCACAGATCACCCTCAAATGCCAACTCCCTTAGGACAAAAAAAAATAATGCTAATAGGATACACTTACATACATAAAAGTGGGAAGAATGTTATAACCCTTAGGTAGCCATCACCCAGCTTCAACAATTATGTACACTATGATTGTCTCTAAGTTAAAATCTATGTAAGCGGGCTGGGAAGTAGTTTTCAAAAATAAAGATAGCTGTGTTAAGGCCTCAGGATTATGGGATTTATTTTCCCTTTTAAGCCTCTTGTTTATGGTGAGATACGTGTACATATTCAGTGTACAGTTCATTTTTAAAGAAAAATATGAAAAATCATAGTCCTTGAGATCTGGGTCCTTGGTTGTTTATTTTTGTGTTTTTAACAGAAGGAACTCAAAGTTTGTTTTAGTTGCATGGAGTTCAAGGTAAATCTTTTTTTATTTTGAAGAAGGAAATTTTGGTTCACGTGGATACTGATCATATCACTTTGGTTTCCTTTGTAGGATTTTAAGCTTGACTTTGGCAATCCCCAAGGCAAAACTAGTGAAACTTGGCATGGAGGTATAGCCACCATTTTTGAAAGTCCTGGCGATGAAGTATGGGGAGTAGTATGGAAAATGAACAAAAGCAATTTAAGTTCTCTAGATAAGTAGGTGACTTCTAATTAAAAGTTAAATAATTACTAATTTAGAAAGTGGATCATATGCAAGGATGTGTATATATGTGTTGGTTTTTCAAAACCATATACTACGGACATATTCTTTATACTTTAGAGTTAACCTAAAAGGTATAATGTTCATTCCTAAAAAGAAAAGCCTAGAAGGGTCACACTCTCTGATTGAGATTTGGGGAGACATTTGTAATCTCTTCTATAATTGATGGAAGTCCTTATTTTCATTCTATTTGTTTTTTAATAAAAATATCTTTGTAGTTTCATATTGTGAGAAGGCATGAAGATTTTTGTAATTGTTATATACTTTTATTGATTTCAACAGCTCAGTTTTTATTAGTTTTTAAAAAATAATTCTTTAAGGTGGCAGTTGAATCAGTAAAAACAGTAATAATCATTTGTAAAAACTTCAAAACATATTAGAAATGCTTTGATGCGCTTTATAAATAGAACTCAAGAGTTGTGTGGCAGAGCATTTAATGCAAAGAAAGTGGCAGAGAAGAGTAGGATTTGAGAAGAGCAGACAATCATCTGACATGCTTAATACTTTACTTCACTTGCAAACAGGAATGAGCCATCCTCTCTACTTTTCTCTGGGTGGATATTCTCTTGCTGTCAGCACACAGTCGTTTTTGTAGCCTAGAGAGCAATGTTTCAGTGTCACAAAGCTTGAAATAACTACACTGAAGCATGTTTTCAGATAGGCTAAATATAGAGGTCTATTAGAAGCATACCCAGTAATAGTAAGTCTCCAGCTTTCTAACTGAAAGGCTAAACTTCCTTTTGATGCGGTGATACTTCTGCTCTATCCCAAAATATACAGGGAGCAAGTACATCCATAAATAGTTAAAATTTTTAATCTGGTAAACTAACTTGGCTAAGTCAAGTATGATTAAAATTTGACTGTTCTGGTTTCAGGCAAGAAGGGGTTAAAAGTGGAATGTATGTCCCAATAGAAGTTAATGTTTCTACTCAAGAAGGAAAAGAAATAACCTGTCGAAGTTATCAGATGACAAATTATGAGCGTGTTCCCCCATCACCCCAGTATAAAAAGGTATGCTTTTAACTAACTACTTACAAAGACTTTGTTAATTTTTACTGAGCTAAACTAAAGAATATCTTGTTTTTAAAAGGTTTTGTGTGTTTTAAATTCTACATGTACAATTCATTTTAATCAAAATGTTTTTTAATACAAAAATGATATTTATTTACCGAATAACTAAATGTTCAGATTTATTTATAATGATAGAAATATGTCCCTAAAACTTCATTTATTAGAAAAAAGCTTGTAGAAATGTATTTGAGTCATAATTCTAGACATGTTTTTTACTTTTTTAAAGTAGAAAATAGCATGTATGTGTGTATTTTTTGTAGAGTTATTCTATACCCATGCTTTTATAATCATTTTTTTCTTCCTCCATAAAACAGTATTTCATGAACACCAAGATTCATTTTTGTAGGTAAAAAATATATTTCCTACTGCTGAAATGTTTTCCATTTCCAGATGGAGGGAAAAATAAGTCACACTGCTTTTCAGAATCAGGGATACCACTCCCTCAAGCACCAGAAAAGAATTCAGGATAGAGAGTCCAACATCCCTTTTCAGAAACCCAAACTTAGGTACCTGTTGGCAGGCCCAGTCAGGACATGATACCTGGAGAGGGTGACCCAGTTCCTGGGCCTAATCTGGAATTTTCTAGAAGGACCCTAGAGGAATTAAGCCTGGTATGGATCTGGGAAGTACCACTGGACACACTTGCTATTTATTCCCTCACGTCTAATTCAGAGGTAGAGTAGACTCCAGGATTCAACTACAACTGCTGCCTGTAAACTGGAAATTGTTTTGGAGAATGGTGTTTGTTTCTTAAAAAATCATGCAAATTCTGTACGATAAGTTTTTCTCTTAATATAAGAACATTTTAAATCATATTACTGAGTACAATTGCTCTTCCGTAAGCGTGGATCTTGTGGCTTTGAAAACTCCCTGCACATTCCTGCTCATTGTGAGAGGAATGACTATCCCTCCATTTTGTTCTAGAATTGTTTATTCCAGAGTTATCGGAAAGCTAATATTTCATACTTTGATACTACAAATAAAGCTGTGGTGTACTAAATTAAATTATGTTCCTAACTAAAGGGTTTTTTGTTTATTTTAACCATTTCTAGGTGATTTGCCTGGGTGCAAAAGAGAATGGTTTGCCACCGGACTATCAAAAGAAGTTAAACGCAATAGAACCAAATGACTACAAAGGAAAGGTCTCAGAAGAAATTGAAGACATTATCAAAAAGGGGGAAGCAAAAACTCATTAGAACCTAATAGAATACGTCTACAGATATTTTCTCTATATGCTAATACATTTTTAACATTTAGAACGGGAATCTGGGATATCTCTCTGTTTAATATATTTTCAACAGTGTTCTGAAGGGGTATCTCACTTGGGTGATTCCTTGTTTTCAGGCTATAAAAAGGCCAGGATAGGAGTTAGACAATTGAAAAGGGGGCCTTGCGGCATTGGAATGCATGACAAGTAGATGTGAGTATTCCTTCTGTGAACCCTTAAAGTTATTTTATTGAGTTGATCTGAAGTGTATTTTTGCTCTGTGATAAAGGGTAGATTTGCAACTTAAGGATGGTGCTGGTAAATCACTCTGCTCTGGGATTTTTTTCTTAGTCAGCTTACTAAGAGCAAGCAAACTGCAGAAGCAATTGATTATAACAACTTCAAACTTTAAAAGATGGCATACTGTTCTTAGAGGAATAAATGTATTTGTGGTTTCACCTATAGTCCCTACTAAAATACTACATTTCATTTTGTTAGAGAGACTCACATCATCACACATACTGGATCTGGTCTTGGTCTATAGCCAATCTATACTAAAGGATAACTGCACAGACTGTGTAACCAGACAGCCGAGGATTGACTGTCAGTTCCAGCACTTTCTAGCTGGGAAACTTTGGATTATATGACTGTGCCTCAGCTTCCTTGCCTGCAGACTGAGGACAGTCCAAATATCTATGTCTTAGGATTGTTTTGAGGAGTATATATATATATATATATATATAAAAATAAGCTTAGAACAGAGCCTGGCATATAATAAGTATTAGCAATCATTATTGTTCTTACTGAAGAATTAAGTTTGCACAGAGCTATCCTTGGAACAAGACTTTAAAGTAGAAGGGTCACGATTATGAGGGAAATGTGTTTCCTGGAAGCTGAAATTTGATTCTTGGCTTACCAAGAAATGGTCACCTTCTTAAATTTACTCACTGAATAAGTGGAAGAAAGAAGAGTCATGAATAAAACAACACTGGTTATCAAAAATTCTCTTATGTCTCTGTGGAATGCAGTGAGCTGGACCTTCCAAACAGGTTATTAGAATGAGAGGGAACAAGCCACAGCAGCATAAAACAAAGATTTGGTTTTTCCTCTTGGGAAGAAGGACCAAAGGACTTTTCAGCTACAGCTGCAATTCTGTAGTGAGGCTGAGCCATAGACTACAGGTTTGACCATGTTTCATAGCTGTTACACCCCACTGTTTTCAAGTATACCCTCCAGTATTCCAGTTTTCGATAGTTGTTAACTCCTCCCCAAAAGACCAAGTTTGTCTGTGACCCAGAACACAGTTATGGTAATATAGTAAGCAAGGCTCAGTTGTGCTGTAGGTACTAAAAATTGCATATTATTCTAAAATCTGTCTCTCCTACCTAAAATGACAGCTTTCATTAAGGAATTTAAAACGTTAACAGTAAAATCTTCATGTCTGGCCTTTTAACAAAAATCTGTTAATCATGACTATTTTTCCAGTTGTTTTCTAGGTAGTACTAGCAAATGTCATATGTAAGGAATTTCCATTTCTACCAGTGATTTTGGCCCTCTAACCACAATACAACCAGCTCCTGGATATACTATAGCAAACATAGTTTTTTGAAAAGCATTTCTGGGCTTGAAAGAAAATAAGGAAAATCTTGAAGTTGTACCAGCCCCTCTCCCACAAAAAGAAAGAAGATAAAGTGAGCTGAAAGGCTAGACAGTAATGGTAAACAAATGGCCCAGATATCCTTGCCAATAATAGCCCCAGAATTTGATGACTAACCCTTGCAGGACAGGAAAACTGAACCTGAGAATTCTGTATGAAACCAGGACCCTTGAAGAGAACTAAAACAGTCCCCAGTTAGTAAGCCTGGTGGCTCCCAGCAGAGATAGATGCAAGTCCTCTCTGAAGAAAGCGATCCTAATTCAGGTTCTCAGGTTTTCCACTTAAAAATTTAAAAGATGATAATAAGGAAAATGATACACTATGAATGAGAACAGAAAAAACAAATTTACATCCCTAAGGTTTCAGGATATTGAAATGATCAAAAACAGAATATAACTATATTTGGAGACTGACTTCTGGGAAGATGGAATAGACATACTCTTCCCTATTCCTTTAGTTAAGTACAACTAAAATCCCTGAACATAATATATAAAACAAGCAGAACAGCTAGAGACCTTAGGACCCAAGGCATGACATGGTGCTGAATTCTCTGGATTTTCTTCTGCCTCATGCATCTCAGACTTCTAGCTGAAGAAGCCAGCAACCTGAAAGCACCAATGAGCATGAGCAGAGATGAAAAACAAACAAACAAAACAAGAAAAGCTGCTCTCTAGCCAAAGGACTGGGAAATGGACAGTCTAGCCAGATAAAACTCAGAGAATAAGTGCTTTACCCCAGCCAAACACCATGGAGAAAAACTAGAACCCTCACCTCCACCCAAGCCAGCAAAAGTTCAAGAGGGAAGCCTGAACTTCCACCCTTGCCAGGTTGTAACAAGGCACCCTAACCCTGTCCCCCACCAGCATTGCCAGGGTAGTGTCAGAAAAGGCTGAGTAGGGAGCCGCCCAGCAGTAACAATCACTCCCCTTCCCCCCTCCCCCCCACCAGTAGTGTCAGTGGAGACCATGTGAGGAGCCTGTACTTAAAACCCCATCTGGCAGTAACAAGGTGCCCCTCCCTGTCCCTGCTGGGTGGTGTCAGAGGAGACCAAGTGACAGATTAGGACTTTATTGCCTGGTGGTAACAAAGCCACCCTTCCCTGTGGTGTCAGTGAAGGCCATGTAGGGGGCAGTAATGAGGCATTCCTACTCCTCCCAGCCAAGGAGGTATCTGTGGAGACCTAGTGGGAAGCTGAGGCTCCTACCTCCCCTCCATAGTAACAAGGTGGACTCTCCCTTGGGTGACACCAGAAGCTGGGTGAGAACCTGAACTTCTACCTCCATTTAGCAGTATCGAGGCAGTGGCCCACACCTTCCTCTGCTGGAATGGTTTCAGAGTAATCCGGCTAAAATAGGAGATTTCAATAAGATCCAGAGTCTCATAATTTCCAAAATGTCCAGGCTTCAACTGAAAAATCACTCATCATTCCAAGAACCAGGAAGATCTCAAACTAAATGAAGAAAGACAATCAGTAGATGCCAAAACAGACAATGACAGATATGTTAAAATTATTTGACAAATATTTTAAAGCAGACATCATAAAAATGCTTTAGTGAGCAATGAGGAGTGTGTTTGAAACAAATGAAAACACAAACATTCTCAGTAAAGAAATGGAAGATATAAAGAAGAACTAGATGGAAACTTTAGGACTGAAAAATACAGTAAAATTACAGTGAAATTAAAAACTCAGAGGATGGGTCCAACAGCAGAATGGAGGGAACAGAGGAAAGAATCAGTGAACTGGGAGACAGAACAATAGAAATTAACCTTGTCTGAAAAGCAGAGAGAAAACAGACTGAAAAAAACCCAAAAAACAAAACAGAGCCTTAGGGACCTGTGGGGATATAACAGAAGATCTAACATTTGTGTCGTGGGAGTCTCAGAAGGAGAGGGGAGAGGACAGGCTGAAAAAGTGACCAAAGAAATAATGGTTTAAACATTCTGAATTTGGCAAAAGCCACAAACCTACAGATTAAAGAAGTTTAATGAAGCCATGACAGTCTCACATGCTTTAACCTAACAGACACCTAACTCCCAAGTTTGTGGGTGGGATTAGCAACAGTGTACATAAAATGCCCAGCACAATGGCTGGTATACAGCTGTTGTCTAATAAATAGTAATTAACATTTAAAAAGGAAAGAAAAATCTGAGTGAACTCCAAACATAAACCCAAAGGAAACCACACCAGACACATTGTAGTCAAACTTCTGAACACTAAAGACAAAAATTCTTGAGAGCAGCAAGTAAGAGATGATACCTTACCTACAGGAGAAAAACAATTTCAATTACACCAGATTTCTCATCAGAAACCAGGGAGACCAGAAGGAAGTGGCACATTTTTCAAGTGCTGAAAGAAAAGGACCGTCTACCCAGAATCCAGTGAAAATAGCCTTTGAGAATGAAGGGAAAAATCAAGACATTCTCAGATGAAGGAAAAAAAGGAAAATTTGTGGCCAACTGACCTACCCTGAAAGAATGACTGAAGGAAGTTCTCTTAACAGGAAGGAAATGATAAAAGAAGGAACTTGGAAACATCAGAAAGGAAAAAAATAACATGGTAAGCAAAAGTATGGTTAAATACAATAGAGTTTCCTTCTCTTGAGTTTCTTACATAATGGTTGAAGCAAAAATTAAAATATTGTGAGTTGTGGTTCTGAATATGTGTAGAGGTACTATTTAAAACAATTATAGGGGCTTCCCTGGTGGTGCAGTGGTTAGGAATCCACCTGCCAATGCAGGGGACATGGGTTTGAAACCTGGTACTGGAAGATCCCACATGCCGTGCAGCAACTAACCCCACGCTCCACAGCTACTGAGCCTGCGCTCTAGAGCCTGTGAGCCACAATTACTGAGCCCACGTGCCACAACTACTGAAGCCAGTGCGCCTAGAGCCCATGCTCCGCAACGAGAAGCCACTGCAATGAGAAGCCCGCGCACTGCAGTGAAGAGTAGCCCCCGCTTGCCGCAACTAGAGAAAGCCTGCGTGCAGCAATGAAGACCCAACGCAGTCAAAGGTAAAAACAAAAAACAAAACCCCAAAACCCTAACACAGGCGTCCCCAACCCCTGGGGAACTGGGCCACACAGCAGGTGGTGAGCAGTGGGCCAGCAAGTGAAGCTTCACCTGCTGCTCCCCATCATTCCCATTACTGTCTGAACCATCCCCCCCATCGCTTGCATTACTGCCTGAACAATCCGCCCCCCATTCATGGAAAAATTGTCTTCCACGAAACCGGTCCCTGGTGCCAAAACGGTTGGAGACCACTGCCCTAACATATCAATAAGTACATTCAGTGTAAATGATCTCAAGACACCAATTAAAACACAGAAACTGGTGGAGTGGATTAAAAACATGACCCAGCCTTATTTATGCTGTCTACAAGAAACTCACTTCAACTATAACAATATAAGCAGCTTGAAAATAAAAGGATAGAAAAAGATATATGATGCAAACATTAATCAAAGGAAAGAATGAGTGGCTTTATTAATATTAGATAGAGTAGATTTCAGGGCAAAGAAAATTACCAGAGACAGGGGGCATTATGGTAACCCTTACCAGTTCATTTTGTGAAGCTAGTGAAGTCAGTATACCAAAACCAGGCACAGTAGAAAAAACCAACCAAACAAAAATAAGCCTGCAGACCAATATCCCTTATGAATATTGATTCAAAGATTCTTTAAAAAAATACTAGCAAATAGAATTTAGCAATACATAAAAGGAATTCTATACCATGACCAAGGCGGGTTATTCCAGAGCTGCAAGTCTGGTTCAATACTTGAACATCAATCAAAGTAATCCACTGTATTTTAACTATTATTACAAATCATGTGATCACATCAGTAGACGCATAAAAGTGGCACAATTCAATACCCATTTATGATAAAAAAAATTCCTCAGAAAAATAGGAACAGAAGGGAACATCAACAACTTGATAAAGAGCATCTATAAAATACGTACAGCTAACATTATACTTAATAGTAAAAGACTGAATGCTTTTCCCTTAAAACTGGGGACAAGGCAAGGATGTCTGCTCTCACTATTCTTATTCAACATAGTGCTGGAAGTTCTAACCAGTGTAGTGAGGCAAGAAAGGGAAATGAAAGGCATACAGATGGGAAAGAAATAAATGAAACAGTCTCTATGTACAGATGACATGATTATCTATGTAGAAAACCCCTAGGAATCTATAAAAAAGTATCCCTTAGAACCAAGAAGTCAGTTCAGCAAGGTCACAGGTTACAAGATAAACATACAAAAATCAATTGTATTCTATATACTTGGACACGGAAATTAAAAATATAATACCATTTACAATTGCTTTTTTTTAACTGTAACTTTTTAATTGTGATGAAATTCACATAACATAAAATTAACCATTTGAAAGTGAACGACTCAGTAGCATTTAATACACTCACAATGTTGTCCAACCACCATCACTATTTACTTCCAAAACATTTCCATCACCCCAAAAGGAACCACACATCCATTCTTCCCTCCCCCACCCCCATTCCCTGGCAAACACCAATCTACTTTCTGTCCCTATGAATTTACCTATTCTGGTTATTTCATATTAAAGGACTCATAAAATATATGACCTTTTATGTCTGACTTCTTTCACTTAGCATAATATCTTTGAGGCTTAGCAACACTGTAGCATGTATCAACACTTCTTTCTTTTTCGTGGCTGTATAATATTCTATCGTATGTGTATAACGATTTGTTTATCCATCCATTGATGGACATTTGGACTGTTTTCACCTTTTGACTATTGTGAATAATGCTGCTATGAACATGTG